TTTCAATTTCGATTTCAACCTATTTTTTGTCACAACTTTCGGGAAACAATGATTGAGTACGAGCAATTTGCCCTAGGTTCTGCAGAATCGAAGACGACCAGTTTGCCCTAGCTTCGGATTCTCCGTCGCGTCTACAGGTGAGGTGCAGTCGCCTTTTTCTCTTCTAATTTTTTATTTTCCATGCGTCCATCGAATTGAACAATCGGCCATTTTGCCCTATTTACAGGGAGAGTGCCGCCATTGTTACATAACGGGCTGGAGCTTCGGTTTTTCCGTTGTGCTTAAGGTGAGCCACTTTTAATCGCCATGAGTTCACTTGTTAAAGTTTGATTTATTCGGCCATTGTTGTGTTCTGAGCCATTGAAGAACCCTAATTGCTGCAGAAACGAAGACATCCTTATCGTCAAGGTGTAAGTTTCGAACCCTCCATCGGGCCTAAAGGTGAGCTCCACAAAATTTGTTTGTTAAGCATGCTGAATGTATTCCACATTTGATGATTTGCTGAGCCACTAATTTTGTTAAATAATCATGCTTAATGTTGTTAAATATCAATCTAAAAGAGAAAGGCATGTGGTGTGGGTTCAGTTTCATTGTCTTGTGAAGTAGCTGACATTTTTTAATATATATAAGTATTTAAAAGGCTTTCTTGTATTTAACTATTACAATAAAAAATATTCTACCAAACAAATAGATGATAATATGGTCATCATGATTTGTTTTAAAAGGCTTTCATTTGAACTAGCTGACACTATTTGGGTGTGGTAAGGTGATGCAACTGTGGTTGAATTTGATAGTTAGTGGGTCTCGTTTGCAGATTATAAGTTTGCTTTAAGGTGCTGCAAATGTGTTTAAGGTGTTGCAAATAATGTTTTGGTTACAGTATTGCCTTTGCTTGATTTGATGAATTGCTTATCCTTGCTTTATCATGTTCTATACTCACATAATTAAGTTTGTTTAAGCCATACAGGTCAATGTTTCATGCTAGTACATTTAATTTAAGTTTTAAAAGATAGAACCTATTACTGTTTGCTTATTTTCTCTATTCTTTTGTGTGCTTTGTCTTGTTTCTTTATGATATTGAGCCTGTTATTATATGTTACTTGTGTGCTGAAAATATGGAGTGCTTAAAAATATGGTGTGTTCATGTTATTATTTGCCTTGTCTCATTTGCAGATAGAAGCTTTTTTTGGTCTAATTAGCTTCTTGATGTTCATATTTGGTTGATAAAAATATCAACATATACGGTAACCTTGATGTCATCACTCTTCTGGAATTGACTTTTGATCTTGACAATGATTCTTTGGTACTGCCAAAAGCTAGCTAGCTGCTTCAGGAAACTAACACCTTTGAACTTTAATTGCACATTTACTTCTTTAGAGATATGTGTTCTCAAAGCTATCTCTAAAATGCGGCTATTAAAGCAATACCAAGTCAGCTAAGTGTCAAGGTTAAGTTGGGGGAAGGATTTGTAATGAACTTATATACTTGTAAATGAAGCAAGAAGACTCAAAGCAACATGTAAAATTCATAAAACTGTGGATCTTAAATTCATTCAAATAATACCAGTGGAGTTGTGTCATTAAAGATAAAAAATTCTCATATTATGAGATAATTCCCAGACCAACTATAATTACCAACTATATTAATTGAGGAAAACTCTTGTCATTTTCTTAAAGGCATCTCTATAGAATTTTTTGAAAGATACAAATTCAATTAGCCTGTATAGGACATAAATTCTATGGATCTAGCAAACAACTCCTGTTTGTTAAAAGAGTGATGGCATCCAGGTTACAGTCAGGGAAGTTGGGTGAAGGATTTCTATGAACTTATATACTTGTAAATGAAACAAGAAGACTCGAAGCTAAATGTTTTTATCTTGTCCATGAGCTTTTGTTGTAAATCTTTATCTTCTCCATGAGTTTCATATGATGTTTGAGAATTGTTAGACCAAAAATCTTTATCTTTTTTTGTTGTAAATCTTGATAAAAATCTGTTTCAAAGGTTGCAGTTTTAAGAAAACCTCATCCACAACTTTAAAACTTCTTTACTGCCTGTGTTGGTATGCCAAATATTTCATTATGTGTTGTGCCTTTTGCAAATTCTCCTTGACTTGTTGGGAAATTAGCTGCCTTTGTAGAATCATGTCATGAGCATCTGCATTAGTTGCATCTAGAAAGGGCCCAATAGCAAAATGAGGAGTGAGTTTTAAGTTGGTATGAAAGTTGGTGTTTTACCAATATTCAGCCAGACTTAGCCACTTTAGCCAATGCTTAGGGTTCTCATGCACCATACACCTCAGAGAGGTGTCAACACATTGGTTCACTCTCTCAGTTTGACCATCTGATTGTGGATGGTATGCTGAAGTCATATCCAACCTTATTCCCATCAATTTAAAAAGTTCCTTCAAAAAATGGTTAGTGAATTCTTATCCTATCAGTAACAATGCTTATAGGTTGTCCATGTAGCTTGTAGATAGAATCCAAGAAAACCTTAGCCACATGAGCCTTTGTTTTCTGCCACTTTGTTTTCTGCCCCCTTTTTGTTTTCTGCCACATTGTTTTCTGCCCTTTTGGACAAAGCATCAGCCACTTTGTTTTCTACCCCCTTTTTGTACATAATCTCATTGTCTAGGCCCAAGAGCTTAGTGAACCACTTCTGTTGCATAGGGTTCATAGGTTTTTGGTCCAATAGGTACTTAAGAGGTTGCTGGTCAGTTTTTATTACAAATTTGTGTCCCAGCAAGTATCCTCTCCACTATTGGACAACCATTAAAACAACTAAGAACTCCTTCTTCTGTGTGTGTTGTTTTGTTTCTGAAATTAGAGTCGTAGTAAGATTGCCCTTTTGAAGTTTATTTGAGATTGAAAGAATCTTGTGTTGTTGTTGTTGGTCCTTAATTTGTTCAGTTTCTGAAATAGTTTGGGGTGCTCTTTTTTATTTGTTCAATTGTGTTCACTTTATGAAGTTATGAGTGAAGAAATATGCCTTCGAGGTTGGTTATTTTTCATGCCTTCATGGTTTTATTGCATGCTACAAGATATTGTTCATGAGTGTTGAAGATATAAAAGAGCATGTTTAATGTTGTCTTGGCCTTCATTTGATTTCTTTGTTGAACCACAGTTATGTCACATATTCAAATTGGAAATGGTGTGATATGTCACTTTATTGTCAGCCTTGGTTTCATTTATATATAGATGTTTTATGCATGCTTAGAGGTATTTTCAGCCTTGCTTTCAGTTATATATACATATATGTCTTGTGCAATGTGCCTTAAAATTGAAATTGTTGTACAGGTTCACTTTTTGCACACTGTATACTATCTCGGGGAAGGACCAGGTATAATGTTGTTTCATGTTTTCGAATGCTGCATTTTTTAAAACGGATTTGAGTGTCATGTTTAAGCCTAGTTTTGATATTTTAGCCTGCTTAAATGCATTAGCATGCCGTAAAGAGTCCAGTATGAATATTTGATGCTCAGTTTGTGCGTTGCATGTGCTGAATACGATTTGTTATGTACTTTCGATTTCATAATTGTAGTTCAATATTTGATGTGCAGTATGTTCATGAACAATGTGAAGTACTAATTTCCCAGTCAATCTTTGTAGATGTATAACGTCTGAGAAAATAAGCGTAATGAATTAAGTTCAATATTATCATGAATACAGGTTATAAATTGAATTAATAAGGGTTAATAAGTATGCTCTAGTTTTATTCTGAATGAATAGCATGTTTTTAGTGTCTGTTATGTGTTGTACGTTTTGTTTTGTTTTGTTTTGTTTGTTTTTTTCTTCGGAGTATAGGTGTCGTAAGTTTGCCCGTATGTTGTTCAATCTTTGTAGATGGATAACGTGCGAGACAAATTACTAATTCTCACTCTTTTGGAAGAGATTGTTCTTGGTGCTCGTTTTTTTTTCATAGTAGCTAGTTACTACTACCACAAATTCATACTCCCTCGCCGCCGTCGACCTTCGTTGACTAGCGGACTCACATACCGATTGAGGGATAGAGTGCCCCTTCAGGTGAGTCATATGCAAAGGCTAGTCGACGTTAGCGACACCACTTGCCTTGAGAACCTCCGTATGGACAGGAATTGTTTTGGTCGCCTTTGTTTCCTCCTTGAAAATTTGGGGGTCTTGTTCAATCTAGAAACGTTGCACCGAGTGAACAAGTTGCCATGTTTCTTTCAATCCTCGCACATCATAAGAAAAACGTCACCTTGAAGTTTGATTTTACGAGA